GGTTAACTTGTCCTTCCTCATTTCCGCTCCCAAATGAGCCACTTGAACCACGTGGCAGGCTAATCTAATCGGTGTGGCCCGGCATGCTTTGATTTACCTCTGGAGAACCATTTCGGAAGAAACATTAGCTTCGCTTACAATGAAAGTGACCCAAAGCAATACAAATACGCCAATCATAAAAATAGCCCTGGTGGCATTTATTTACAACAGGATTTCATACACATTCATTCATTCATAATCATTCCTTTCTGACACAGTGAGAGTAAGTATCACCATTCTGTAGCAAGCTCAAATGTGCACACTTTGGTTTGACAAGAACGGGTGCACAAGCAAAAATAGTTCTGAACATGATATGAAGTTAATCCAGGATGGATGCAAAACCTCAAAAGAGGTTTGGGTAGAACCTCAAACCCTCAACGGAGTCATCTCGACAAAGGTGGCCCATCTTCTCAGCCAGGAGCAATCTGCAAATATGGAAGGTGAAGAGTGAACCACAAAAGCATAATTCAACATCCTCAGAGAAAACAATGGAAGTTGAGTTGAAAATTTTTACAGGGTCATGTTGTTACCATTCTGCCTCTGATAACAACTGACAAAATACTGTATACTGTTGTGAGGCGGGTTCCACTCAGTTGCCCATTAAACACTTACCGCTCCTTAGACAGAAGTACAGAGAGACCCAACAGTTTAGCAAACTCTTCAGCTGTTAAGGACCCTTTGTCTGTCACCTAAAAAGAGAGACAAGAAAGTGGGGTGTATCTGAGGAAGAAAATAACATAAAACGTGATGTTCAAAAGCAGCGTTTGGGACAGGAGCTCACATTGTCCAGCGCTGAGGCAATCATTTCCTCTTCGCTGTGAGACTGCAGCTGGACCACCATCACGCCACTATCAAATACACGCAGCCTGCACCCAAGGCAAAATTGTATATCATGTTTCAAGGAGTTTGGAATCTTTTGTTACTCCTTTTTTCTTTTGCTTTCAACTTTTGCTATTAAAGTGAATGAGCAGTATGTGAGACTGATAGGTCTAGTTTGGTTTAAAATCCCAGGAAGTGACAGGAAGTGGTGCACACTGTCAAAAAAACAGGAAGCCTGACAGGAAAAGCCTGGCTGGTTCTTCTGTGGAGGTCAACCGGTGGCAAGCAGAAGTTTAAGTTTGTTGAGCTCCCGGCTAAAAAAAAAAAAA